ATATATATATACGTAAATTTTGATGTGTATGTATAAGCATATGTGTATATACTTGTATTTGTACATATACATGGATATATATATATATATATATATATGTATATATATGTATATATTTATATACATATGTATATATATATATGTGTGTGTGTGTGTGTATGTATGTGTGTGTGTGTGTATGCGTGCATATATATTCATATAGCTATATATAATAAAATATATTTGAAAGCTCAATGCATATGCATAGAACATCGTGAGAGTCCCAAAAGTTGAGACTTTCAAAATGTTCAACAAGCAGCTAAAACAAGTTCCATATTGATAGATTATGGATGATATGCAGGTAGCGACGTGCGACTAAAGTAGTATATAGCTACAGAAAATAATGCTCTCTATATGTGGTTTTTGTATATGCATCTATTTGAGCCTCGATACACCTGCACACTTCGTATATGGATATTAAAATTTATGTGTACACGGGGCACAATGATTAGAAAGTGTAAGACTTGTCCGCTCAACATGAGAAGTTATCACACACGGGGTCCTGACTGTCACCGATACGGCGGATTTCAGCTATGATCTTCTGATTGCCATCTGCGTGTACAAATCTATGCGCTGAAAAATGGAACTCACATATGTAAGCAAGATCATTGGATATTTGAGAACATAGCAAAGCTCGGGGCTGGCGAACACTTAGGGGGATAATAGTGGGCCTTGTACGTTTGTATCTATTAATACTGCATACTTCACGAACTATAAAGCCAAAACATGTGGATGTGATCAAGTACAGAATCTCGTACTGCTTATTATTTGGCATACATACTCAATCTGCTCATTACTCTGACCCATCTACCTGTAGGTACTGCCCCTGCTAACACAGACGTCCATAGGTGACTGTATTAACCAAGTTGAGCTTCAGGATAAATGGCAGCCCAGTAAGGTTGACCGTGACAATCAAATCGATGATAATGACAACACTAGTCTAAGTAGGCCAGACAAGCCAGCAACCAGATGGGCCGCTTCGGCAACTGTGGAGAGCAGGACGAAGGATGTGGTGGTATCCTTCTCACCTATTGGAGGGGATCCAATTATAGATGTGCTATCGGCGGACGTTAAACACACATTAAAAATCAAATAGTTAGTGTACACGGAAGAAACGCGCATAAGATACTATACATAGCGCAACTAGTCACAAGGACACAAAGATCAGGAAGTATAACGCTCTACACTCATAACTACCGACACGGTGAATTTCAGACATGTCGGCAAATTGCCATCTGCATGTACGAATTCGCGCGCTCGAACATGAAACTCGCCTATATACGCAAGAATATTGTATATTCGGAAAACATGGCAAATAAAACGGGACTTGCGAACCCTAACGAGGATTATTGTGGGCCTAGAAGGTTCTTCTCTATTTATACTGTATACTTAACATACGTCCGAGCGTCCAAGTCACAGACACCTCTGCGCGCAAACAATTTAAAGTGCAAACTTCCCAAAAAAACCTTTGCTTTTCGGCTGTGGGGGATCATCTTAAACAATGTATATATCATGCATAGAAAACCATGCAGAGGTACAGAAATACCCCCATATGTGAATCCCTATGCAACATTTGTTGCAGTGAAACATCTACCATATACGTGGGATTGTGGATGTTTCAAACTGGCATACGAATCGTACTGTGGCGTGTGCACGAGTTAGAATATGTGTACACACGGCGACGTTACAAAAATTCCAATCCATAAATACACACATATATATATGTATGCATATATG